CGATGACGGTTATATTATGAGTTTATGTGTTTTGATGTACCGAAGGAATTCGGAGTCCCGAATGAGATCAGGGACATGACGAGGAGTCTCGAAATGGTCGAGACGTAAAGATCGATATATTGGACGACTATATTCGGACATCGGAAAGGTTCCGAGTGATTCGGGTATTTTCAGGAGTACCGGGGAGTTACGGGAATTTGTATTGGGCCTTAATGGGCCATAAGGGAAAGGAGAGAAAGGCCTCAAAGGGTGGCCGCACCCCTCCCCATGGGCTGGTCCGAATTGGACTAGGGAGGAGGGCGCCCCCTTCCTTCCTTCTCCTTTTCCCTTCCCTTTCCTTCCCTCCTACTCCTACTACTTGGAAGGGCTCTAGTTCTACTAGGAAAGGGGGAATCCTACTCCCGGTGGGAGTAGGACTCCCCTAGGGCGCATGGCGCGCCCTCCCCCTAGGAAAGGGGGAATCCTACTCCCGGTGGGAGTAGGACTCCCCTAGGGCGCATGGCGCGCCCTCCCCCTCCTCCACTCCTTTATATACGGGGGCAGGGGGCACCCCAAAGACACAACAATTGATCTCTTGATCTCTTAGCCGTGTGCGGTGCCCCCCTCCACCATAATCCACCTCGATCATATCGTAGCGGTGCTTAGGCGAAGCCCTGCGTCGGTAGAACATTATCATCGTCACCACGCCGTCGTGCTGACGAAACTCTCCCTCAACACTCGGCTGGATCGAAGTTCGAGGACGTCATCGAGTTGAACGTGTGCAGAACTCGGAGATGTCGTGCGTTCGGTATTTGATCGGTCGGATCGTGAAGACGTACGACTATATCAACCGCGTTGTGCTAACGCTTTTGTTTTCGGTCTACGAGGGTACGTGAACAACACTCTCCCCTCTTGTTGCTATGCATCACCATGATCTTGCATGTGCGTAGCAAATTTTTGAAATTACTACGTTCTCCATCATGTAGGAGTAACAAAACAAAGAAGAACATCTAAAGAAAGGAAATAAGCAGACACCTATTTCTTCCGAGCAAATGTACACGCTATGACACAACATGATCATGCTTATCAATTGAACATCAGGAAGGAAGAAACTACCATATGCCAGTGCGGAGGTAAGGGCCAGCACACACGGCGAACGAGGCATCGATGGCAACGGCATTTTCATCTAGCACGGTGGAATTGATCAGTGTGACGACATCAAATCCAGAACTCCCAGCCCATATGTCTCTCCCCTCGACTGCAATTGTCACAACAATAAGTATATCAATCAATATCTATGGACACAGCTGCATGAGGGAACAACAGAAAAAACACATCAATCAGTATGCTTGTACAGTACACACACCTTCGATAACATTATATTCTCCTTTCGATATTTGATTTCTACCACATAATAAGCACTGTCATCCATCCTTCAAAGTCCTGGTTGTTAATTCTGCATCATGTGTGTGGTAATCTGGATTCAGCAAACTCTGAATCCTTTCCTGATAATCTCAGTGTTATCAACTTATCATAGAAGAAGAATTGTTTGAAAAAACCTACCAGAAAAAAGGTTGCCACGGGACAAATCAAGAAACCTATTGTCCCAGTTTTAAATCAAGCAACAGCGAACTCACCTTATTGAGTACACAACCAGAACCATCATCCGTTGCACATAGAGGAGAAGGACATCGTAGGCAAAAGGGAGTGTGTTGGCGGCAGACAACGATGCCTTTGGTTTCTCATCAGTCTCGTCTAGGCTTCGATTGCATATAAGTAAGCGTTACACGGGGTGGGCCGCTGCTCCAGTAACAAATTTGTCGATTTGCCATTCATTTAGCCTGACTTAGCTTTTAATGTGTTCCTAGCTCTCACCCTTATTATATCTCTAACCGGCCACACGATAACTTTTCTGCTAAAATTGTTGCAGGTGAATTTTGGCCTTCCCTTCATCTTTCACTCTGTCAAGTAAATCTGAACTTATCCTATATCAATTTATGAATGCAATAGTATTAAATACTAATGGCAAATGGGAAAAGTTGTTGATATAACTTGTAACATCTTAATTTTGGAAGAGAATGATTAACCAACTGCAATTGGAGTTACTTAAGTTCAGTGCTTACTATACAGTATGTACTATCTATCTATGTCAGAACACTTCTAAGTTCTTGCAGGAATGGGAAACTCTCATTGTAGACTCACTGTTTGGGCAATAAAGATCACTTATGGGTATTACTAATCTTATTATGCCAAATGTCAAATATTACCAGGCAAACAGAAGTGATGGCCGCACTGTGAAGAGCACCTTAAATACCATCAGCAAATATGTACGCGTCATTGTAAGTATATCTTGTACTGTTCACTGCTTGCAGATCAAATTAACAGTAAGAAAGTGCATAATCTTCCCTTGTCAGAACCTGAAATCAGAAAAAAGGTACATACGGGTGATTCTCACCTTGACGCTGAACGGGGCAAGCAACTGCTTGCAGCAGAATTGGTGGAGGACCAGCCCTTGTTCATCGCAACCAGCTTGGCCGGGGGGTAGAACGTGTCGACGGCCGTTTAAGGTCATCCCTTCCATAAGCTCTTCTTGCGAGATTGGGATGCTCCGACCGTCCGGCGGCCGGCGGCCCACAACGGCAACGCGATGCCTATGACATGGAGGAAGTTTGAAATAAATTCGTCGCACCCCGTTCGATGCCTATGCCTGGCGGTGGCGACCGCCACTCAGGGTCGAGATCGAGAGATTGAGTCGTGGCTTGATGTTCGTGCCGGTAGTGGCTGGGGGCGGCGGCACACTAGGGTGAGGGTAACACAGCCAGGTCGAAGAAGAGGAGAGGTCGGGGAGAGAGACGAAAGAACGGGGCCGAGAGAGAGGAGATGCTCGTGTGCTCATGGGCTTCGTGGGACAGAATATTTGTGCGTGAAACTGGGCCACCTAACCAGAGGCCACCGAAAGAGGAAAGTATCGTTTTCCCCTCAAATCCTGTCTGATGGACCGATTTCCCCCCAAAGTCTAAAACCGGATCAATCAGCCCCTAAACTCTCTAAAACCGGATCAATTTTCCCCCATGGTGGTTTTGCACCAGATTTAGGTGGTTTTGACTAGTCTCCTTGCTGACTGGACAGTGCTGACTTGGCAGCGCACGCCCCACGCTCACCCGCTGCCGTGCCCCTGCCCCGCGATGTCCGCTCCTTTGGTCGCCCGTGCGCCGGCCATGCCCTGCCTCACCCTCGCCCAATCGAGCTCCCCGCGCGCGCGTAGGCTCCGGACGTGCCCTGCTTCTTGCTGATGCTGCCTTGCCGCCGTCTCTACTCGACTGTTGCGGCCTTCGCTTGCTGCTTCCCTCTGCTGCTGACTCTACATCGCCCGTCCGCCGCTATATGCTCGGCACCGGCGCCCGCCCTGCCGCCGTGCCTGGTGCTCAGCTCCCGCACGCACCCACGCCCGGGCGCCACTCGCGCCTGCCGCCGTGCGCCCGCTCCTGCCGGAGCTCCCCTATCGCCCCCTCACCCCGCTGTCGGCCGCCGCATTTTCGCCCGTGCCCTGGTGCCGCCCGCCTGCGCCCCCGCGAGCCGCGCCCCGTTGATGGCCCCTCAACGCCTGATGTCGCCAAGCTCCCTGCTCGCCGTGGCGGATGCGCCACCGCCGGAGCTTCCCGCCGTGGCCGCCGGCCCTCCTCTGTGAGGCCGCGTGCGTGCCCGGCCTCTGAGACCGGCCCCAGTTTTCGCCAAGTCAGCACTGTCCAGTCAGCAAGGAGACTAGTCAAAACCACCTAAATCTGGTACAAAACCACCATGGGGGAGAATTGATCCAGTTTTGGAGAGTTTAGGGGCTGATTGATCCGGTTTTAGACTTTGGGGTGAAATCGGTCCATCAGACAGGATTTGAGGGGGAAAACGATACTTTCCTCCCACCGAAACGGTTTCTGGAGTAGCAGCCCTTAGGACAGCCGGCCTAGTTAGCGCTAAACAACGACCTGACGAACAGAAACATTTCAAACACATGATCTGACGGCCAAAATTGCAAGTGCGTGAGAGAGCTCGCTTTAGGCTCAGTTTTACTGTCCTTAATAATAGCTGGAGTAAGAATTTTTCAAAAGATCACCTAGGAGCAAGAAAAGCTTACAGAAAATGTTTGATGAATTGTTAACACTTTAGCTTTAGCTGCACTGACTTTCTCCATCTAAAACATACAGCCATTAGCGCATCTATTCATCAGCACATACAAAAATTACCAAGCACCAAGTAGCAGTACCAAATTGGCAATTACCAAATTGAAATTGTCAAGCGACAGATACAAATTTAAACATACATCAATGCATTAGCAGTACCATTTATTCATCAATACATGCATCTATCCATCCATCTATTCACCTAGATGTTAACAGAGAAACAGAGAAGAATACAGAGGTAGAAGAGAGACGAGACAGAGAAGAAGAGTTCCCATCGGGCGTCTAGGCAGGGCGGCCAGAGGCGACCAGAGGCGGCGGGCTGCCCGTCCAGCGGGGTCGCGAGGAGCGAGGCGACGGAGCTCCCGTCCGGCGGCGTCGTGAGGAGGGGTGCTGTCGGTGTTCCCATCTGGCGGCGGCGAGGCGGGCCGTCGTGAGGAGAGGGGCCGCCCCAAGGCGAGAACCGGCGTGTAGGCTGGGCTGCCAGGGGGTGGCCGGTGGCGGGCTGGTGGAGCTCCCGCCGCCGCTAGCGCTCGTGGGGATCGAGCGTTTGCTGGGCCGTTCAGTCGTGCAAAAGGGGCAGTTTGGCTGTAAATTATTCCTCCAATAGGGGTACTCTCATATCCGAAACGTTTTCTTTGGTGGGACTTACCAGAATCTTGGGATTCTGTGAAAATCTATGTTTTTCGAGGATTTTGAATTGCACTAGGATTCTGCAGAATCCGCTCGAGATTTTGGAAGGCAAATCGAGTTCTTTTCGCTCAGGATTTTCCAGGACGAGATTCTTCACAATCTGTTCAAAAGAACTGGGCCTAATTGCCGAATGCAGCGGTATTCTTTCGCTGGAGGTCATTGCTGGATTTGCTTTAGCTCTTCGGGCTGTTTTTCGTAATCTCCAATCCTCTTCAACCACCGTAAACCGAGGTCAGATCCAGACTCAGCTGCTATCTGGAACTGCTCCTTTGCCAGCTTTACTGGGTCCTGCTGTATGGTCCTTTTTCGCACCTTCCCAGTTGACGGACTCTTGCCTGAGTTGAACCTGGTAATGACTTCAGGCACTTCAGCACCTGAAACAACCACACGGTAAGCATAAACAGATAGGCCTGGAGTCTGGAGTAATCTAACAATTCCAGCCAAAATTAAACAAAATCAGTTGACCAAGAGCTGTCCAAATTAATGGTGAAACCATAACTTCACAACCTGTTTACTCTAAAATAGCCATTACAAGAAGGATAATATAAGGACACATGATTATCTCTTGAAACGTTAAGAGTTACTCCCTCCGTAAACAAATATAAGAGCGTTTAGATCACTAAGAGTTACTCCCTCCATAAACAAATATAAGAGCGTTTAGATCACTACTTTAGTGATCTAAACGCTCTTATATTTCTTTACAGAGGGAGTACTTGTCTACAAACCTTTCAGAAGAAGGGAACCATATGCAATTGCAGCTCCAGCATGTCCCTGAGATGTCAGAAAAACAGAAATAACAACGTGATTCATGGGTTGCAAGTAAATAAGATAATTTTGAGTTGATCTATTTCATTTACTACCTTTTCTGAAGGTCTATGGAAACACCACATAGCTGAAGCTATGTCCCTCTTAACGCAATCCCCAGTTATATATACAGCACCAAGAAGATACAAAGCACCAGGATGCAACTGCATTCAAAGATAAGTAAAAGCTGAATATGCTTACCAAGAAGCATAGTAGAAAATATATGATCAACATTCAGGTGGCGAGCATACCTGGTCAACAGCTTTCTCTATATAATGAAAGGCCTGTTGATCAGACTGAACATGATCATTCTACAAGCAACAAAGGTAACCATCAACTGAGGTGAAGAAATATTCCACGGAAATGGTCTAAGGAATGAAACTATCATTTGCCCAGCAAACAACTAATATTCGATTAATAAAGTGCCCCACAAAAAAAAGAATTAAATAGGTGGAACAGAAAGATGCCAAAAGCAGATGAAGAGTGAAAACCTCAACTCTTAGCTGACATCCAAGTTCATACTGTGCCTCTGGATCACCCATGTTCGCAGCTTCAACAAGCAAAGCAGCACCACTGTACGCATGAAAAGTGAGAGATGAGCATAATTCACATGAAATGTGTACTGAAGGCAAGTTTTGCTTCATGTGGAGGTAGCGGAATAAATGTTCCTACTAAAACGCAGCAAAAGAAAAGGATGGTTTGCCTCACTCAATATTTTACGATTTAATTGAAGGTCAAAAAAGTAAACATCGTTCCCAATTTTCTTTTCCAATCAAGGAGCTGCTAATCTCGTTAATCTTCTGTCCTGGTAAGTACTAATGCAGCAATTATTGCTGACTAATTGGACACATAATGTTGTTAGTAACCGCAATTCAAATATATTGCCAGTACAAATTATCTCAAAGCGCCAAACTCGAGGCATACCAGTGGTTTATTAAACATTTTGACCAAGACAATAAGGTTCAGTTCCAGTTAGGATTTTGAATAGGTTCACCCGCAAAAAAAAAAGGATTTTGAAGAGGTTTTGACCCACAAAATTTCAAGTTACTCTTTTCTATTCCCTCTGTTTCTTAATATAAGACTTTGTAGAGATTTCAATACGGACTACATACAGATGTATATAGACGTATTTTAGAGTGTAGATTCACTCGTTTTGCTCTGTATGTAGTCCATAGTGAAATCTCTAAAAGGTCTTATATTTAGGAACGGAGGGAGTATTAGATAGTAGATACCAATGCCCATCAGGCCATTACCCCATTGCCCAAATGCTGCATACACCTTATAAACATCAACCGAGATTCATAAGCAAAGCTGTGTGACATTCACACGAACTTCTTAACTTTGTTGGGGAAACTAGTATTTCTCATGAGCTGCTAAGCATAGTAGCTACAAGAGTAACGAGACCCATACAAGTAGCGGTGACTTGGACATCAACAAAGACACACTTTTATGGAAGATTTCTTCACACTGCCTGATATGTAAATATTACTAAAACACTTAATTAACAAGGTATACCTACAGCGCTAGCCAAATTATATGCAATGCAACAAAATTATCCTGCAGCTTTAGCTCTGTCAGATAAAACAAGCACAGTATTATCTGCAACTGGTCCGTCAGATAAAACAAATACTAAGAAATAATTCTGGTATGCAACTATCTAACTGAGGCGCAATGGTATCCAGTATTCAGAATCATGGCACTTACATACTAGCCAGGTCCTTAAAAAGGATAGTTCGCAAAAAAAAGGTCACTTATAAAGGATTCAAATTGAGTCAAAACAACAACATAACTACATAAGCAACGATAAAATTAGTTGTTTGCATCACGTTCACAGATTCCTGGAATAGCAGTGAAACAACAAAGTAGTGTACATGCCATATGAGCAGGTTGAACGACACAGCAAAGTAAGTAAATTAACACTAACATCATGGGAGGTAAAATTAACTCACATTGCCTTGCACGCCCCGGGAACATGGTACTTGAAATGCATCTTGGCCAGCCAACATCTCGCGTGAGTATTCATATTGTCGATCTCTAGAGCCAGCTCAAAGTTCTCCTTTGCGCCCTTCGACACCGAGAAAGAATCGCACAACAAAAAGTTAAAACCCCAACAACAGGTCACAACAGAATGGTTCCAAATGGGGGAAGAGAGGGAACGTGAATCCAGAGCTGTACCCTGAGAAGTGGGATTAGTCGCTTGTCGTTGCGGTCGGCGAAGTCGATGACGCGATCGACCTCCTGTAGGGCGCTCCAACCCTTGGCCACCAACTCCATTGCCTTCTTGTTCCGGTCGTGAATCCATCTCTGCAACCACAAAGAGGTTTATTCACCGCCTGGCAACATACTAGAGCATGAAATCAAATAGATACGTAGATGCGCGCGTCTCATCCGCGCCACACTCACCTGGTGATTCAGCGTCGAGGCCAGCTGGGAGACATGGCCGGACGGGGAAGACGAAGCGGCGGCGGCAGCGACCCGCCGCGCCGATGCGGCGATCATGGCGGGGTGACGCCCTTCTCCGTGAGCCCGGCTGCAGAGGGGATGACAGGGCGGTCTGCCCCCCAAAAAAATTATAAGCAATATGGACATGTGAACATTCTAACTAATTACGAATATCACAAAGAAATAGATCAATATGGTCTTACAAACACACTAAAATTTTCAATTAAATCTTAATTTTGCATAAAGAAGCCTACATATTACATACTACATGGAACATACTCCCTCCGTTCCGAATTACTTGTCGCAGGTATGGATGTATCTAGATGTATTTTAATTCTACATACATCCATTTCTGCGACGAGTAATTTGGAACGGAGGAAGTAGTAGATAGTGCATACCTTAAGAAATTCAAAAAGACTGTTTCTGGCCTACGTTTTTGCATTGCCATGAAGATATCAATTATATCAGCTTCATTCACCTCTGAGAAAGCATCCCTCTCAATGTATGTGACTAGGCCGAAATTATGTGCAAAATTATGTATGGATAGTGCAAAAATGAAACCCTAAATCAGAAATTAGGGTATTTCGGTACCTTCAATTCCGGAGGCTGGTGTGGTGACTGAGCGGCAGTGGCTGCCGCCAAACTTGCAGGGGGGCGAGGGCAGGGGCGCCAGGCTTCCGGCCGGCGGCAGGGGCACGGCCGCGCGCAGGGAGGGGCGTGGGCAGGGAGGCGCGGCTGGACCAGAGGGCCGTCCGGCCGGGCGGGAAGGAGAGGCGCGGGCGCCGGGAGGCTGGGATCCGGGCTCCGGCTGGCGACCGGCGGTGAGGTCGCGAGGAACGGCGACGGCGAGGCGGCTGGGCGTCGATGTCGGGCAGTGGCGCAGTGCTGTGCGAGGGCGTCGCCGTGTCGGGAGGAAGGGCTCTGCTCGATGTGGACTGGGCCACGAGGACTATTTCTCGCATTCAGCGAAGCTCGCTGAACCGTTTAGAAATAGAAAAAGTAAGAGAAAATGAGGGCCTGGGTTCGATTCTGTACTGCATAGAGTTTTTTTTCTTAACACAGTACAGACGCAAGCGCTTATATACACGCGCAGACACTCACCCTTATAAACATGTACACACTCTATTTCTATGAGCATCTTCAAAAGACTAAGCCGGCATATTATCTTGAAATTTACGAAGTCACCGTAGGCACCTCATCGTCAACGTGAACGTCTCGAACTTGAATCCTGGTGGATTGAGGATATCATAGTCCCTCTAACCATCCAACCACAGATTGACTACATAGAGTTGCTAGCCGCTATGCCACTTATCATTTCGGGTTCGCACCCTAGTTGATGTAAAAGACCGGAGCTTTCTTTTCTATTTCTCCTCTTTTAATGCTTATTCATTTTTCTTCTTTTCTTTTCTCTTCTCCGACTTTTCCTTTCTTTTTTGCATTTGTCCCTTCGTTTTTTCCTCCTTTTTCATTTTTTGTTTCTCCTTTCTCCTTTGTTTTTTATGTTTGCTTTCGTTTTCACTCTACATTTTCATATATGTCAAAAATATTTTTTGTATAAGTGGTCAACATTTTTTGTATACACGTTCAACATTTCTCAAAAACTTGTTCAACATTTTCATAGTTATTCAAAAAAAATCAAATGCTTGATCAACATTTTTAATACTGATTCAACATTTTCAAATACTTGTTCAACATTGTATTATACTCGTTCAACATTTTCTAATATCTATTCAACATTTTTAAAATACTGTCGAACAGTTTTAATACTTATTCAACATTTTCAAATACTTGTTCAACATTTATCAAATTTTTGCTCAACATTTTTAAATACATGTTCATCATTTTTTATATACTTGTTCAATATTTTTTTAATACCTATTCAAAATATTTAAAATATTTTTTCAACATTTTTAATACTTGTTCAACATTTTTCAAATACTTGCTCAACATTTTACAAATTCTTGTTCAACATTTTTTAATACTTATTCAATATTTTATCAAATGTATTTTTGAAGAGTGTTTTTAATATATATATATATAATATTTTTAAAGTATAAAAAATGAAAACAAAAACAAAAAATGTAAAAATAAATAAAACTAAGGAACATGCCGGTGTTGCCAGCGCGGGTGGCCCAGCCTAGACGCTCACGCGCTTCAGCGAGTTAGATGCCTCGACTCGCTGAACGTGAGGAATAGCGATGCTCGGACTGGGCGTGGTTGTATTTGTCAACTGGTATGTATACTGGGCCATTTTTTTCTGGCCCTGTAACTAGATGTTCCAGCCCATGATAACGTTTTTTCGGAAACCTAGGAGCCTCCGCTTAGGCGATTAGGGTTTCGTGGAGCACGGCGGCGCTCGCCAGATCTTGATTGGCGGGGTGCGTGATTGGCCGGGCAAGATGTCCTCATCGGGCGCCGGCAGGGGGGTGGGTCTAATCCCACGCCTGGGCGGACAGAGAACCAAGGAGAGAAGGCGCAGGCGGCACCAGGATCGTCGGGCGCGGCTAAGGCTCAACTGGAAGAGGCCCTTGGAAAAACTCGGGATCACCGACGAGGAGGCGACGCCTCTAGTTATTGATGATCGGGAAGACGAAGCTCCGGTGAAGTGGCTACTTGCAGGGAAGGTTTTGAACCGCAATCTCCTCCATATCCGAACCATAAGCAATGCCCTCCGCCCAGCTTGGGGAAACCCTAGGGGGTTGAAGTTCACGTCCATGGGAGATAATATGTTCGTGGCTGTGTTTGAATCCAAGAGAGACAGAGATCAGATCTGGGACGGATCGCCGTGGCATGTGAGCAAGAACGCGGTAATCCTTGCTGAATTTGAGGAGTGTATGAGGCCGGATGAGGTGAGTTTTGACCGGCTGCAGTTATGGGCACGAGTTATCAATCTTCCCTACAATCTCAGGGATGATGTATGGGGCAAAGAAATCGCAAAGCAGATTGATAAGAAGGCTTCCTCGGTGCAGTTTGACCACACGGGAGGTTATTTGCGCGCGAGAGTCACCATTGATGTGAGTAAATCTCTAAGGAGGTGGATTTTAATTGAATCGGCCAGGAGGAAGAAGCAAGACTTGTATGAGATACAATATGAAAATGTGCCGCACTTTTGTTTCTCCTGTGGCCGCTTGGGACATTCGGAGCTCTTTTGCCCTACCCCGGGGAAGAGAGACAAGAACGGAGATCTCCCCTTTGGGGCAGGCCTGCGTGCTCCGGAGAAGAGGAGGAAAGATTTCTCGGGTGACAGTACGAAGAGAGAGCACACTACAGCCAGCACCAGCAAACGAGAATCAAAGAACTCTAGTAATGTTGCTACGGGCAAAACTACTGTGGAGGTTACCTCACTGATCAAATCTCGCTTACCAAAAAGAAAGGAGGTGCCTACCCAGGAATACCGAAGAGTTAATCAACCACTATTGTTGAAATCTGCTGTGGAGCATGAAGACATGAGCAATAATGAGGATGGTTCAGAGGGGCAGAATGAAGAGGACAGGCTTAGGAAGAAGAAGAAGCCAACACCAGAAATTCGGCAGAGGCTACGGTGCAGCCCTGCCCGTCCAAATGAATTGCATGAGCTGGAACTGCCGGGGGCTTGGGAACCTCGAGGCAGTTCGCGAGCTTCGCAACATTGTGAAGCAAGAAGGTCCTGCCCTTTTATTTGTAATGGAAACTAAAATAAGGGCAAAGAGAGTGGAAAACCTGAAACTCACGTTGGGGTTTGCGGGTTGTTTCGCAATCGATAGTGATGGTCTGAGTGGTGGTGTTGGACTGTTCTGGTCAAAGGAAGTTTCAGTTGAGTTGAAGAATTATAGTCTGAGTCATATTGACGTCATAGTTAAGAAGGAGGGACAAGTTTCTCCGCCATGGAGATTTACAGGTTTCTATGGAGCACCGAGAGCATAGAATCGTTACCATAGCTAGCGCTTCATGAGAACTCTTTATGCGATCCAACATCGAGCTTGGATCCGTTGGTGATTTTAATGAGACCTTGTATGGGTCCGAGCACTTCAGCCGGGCGGCACGGCCGGAGTGGCAGATGCGGGCCTTTCGCGAGGTGGTGCAAGAGTGCGCCCTACAGGATCTAGGGTGGAATGGCTTGGAATACACATGGGATAACAAACAGCAAGGGGAAGCGAATGTGAAAGCACGACTCGATCGTGCGCTCGCAAATGAGGATTTTTTCAATCTTTTTCCCCTTACTCGAGTTAGACATGTCAGTTCCATAGAATCTGATCATTGTTTTCTTATAATTGAACTTAGTGAGCATCAACTTATGAATAATAAAGGGAAGAAGCAGTTCCGTTATGAGAATGTATGGCAGTCTCATGCAGACTATGATGAGCTTGTAAATGAATCATGGAAGAGGCTACATCGGGGACAGGGACTTGCAGGTATAGCCGGTACCCTGCAACAACTACAGGGCGAACTGGGTACCTGGGGTGCCCGGGAGTTTGGGAACCTTTCCCGGACTGTTAAAAAGTTGTAGAAGAAGCTAGAAACTCTCCGGAAACATTCAGTGAGGCGTGGTCCTTCTGATGAGGAGGTAGTTACAGCACAAAAATTGAGAGAAGCTCTTCGGCAGGAAGAAGTATGGGTGCGACAGCGATCGCGAGTCCGCTGGTTGCGAGCCGGTGATCGGAATACGTCATATTTTCAAGCCCAAGCAAGACAGCGTAAGCGTATGAAAAAAATCTTGAGGCTGAGAAGACGGGATGATACGATCTGTCAAACACCCGAAGAGGACAAAGAAGAGGTTCAATCCTTTTATCAGATGCTCTACACCTCTCAAGGTTTTAACGACATGGAGGGCTTGCTTCAGTTTGTACCAGCGCGGGTTAGCGAGGAAATGAATACAGAACTGACCAAGCCCTATGTTGCCACTGAAGTTAAGGCGGCGCTGTTCCAGATGGCACCCTCAAAGGCGCCGGGAGTGGACAGTTTTACAGCAGGTTTCTTTCAGCGACATTGGGCTCTTGTGGAAAAGGACCTAGTGCCGGTAGTATTGGATTTTCTGAACGGGGGAGAGATGCCAGTGGGTAGAAATGACACTTCAATTACTCTCATTCCGAAGGTGAGACACCCCCAGTCTATCTCATAGTACCGACCTATATCGCTCTGTCCAGTGCCGTATAAAATTGCGGCAAAAG